TTCGAGTCCCGGCTCGTGGACCTTTCCCGATCCCGTCCCCCTCTCTCTCTGCCACTTCGCTTCCTGTCATTACTCTACTATCCTATCAAAATAAAGGCAAAAAAAAAAAACATTTATTAATTTCTTATTTGGTGTTTAATTATATAAATAATAAAACTGTAACCTTGCATTATAATGAATTTGCCATGGTTTATGGCTGTTATTATGCACAAAAATACGTGCAACACGGCTGCATTTATTAGATCAAAAACTAGTTGTGAAATATTATTAGGGTTTCAAATAAGTGTTTTCTATTTGAATATATGTTAAAGGCAGAGCAAGTGATTTCTGGTAGCCAATGTTGATATTTGAAATCACCAAAACAAACACGACCCTACCCCAAAAGGGTAAGTGTTTTTGAAAAATCACATACCCTGCCTTTAAACCGAGATGTAAAGCTGAATTTTCAGCATCATTACTCATTTCTGATTATTATCAATGTTGAAAACAGTTGTGCTGCTTAATATTTTATTTTAAATCATGATATACTACCATGTAAAAGTTTAGGGTACTTAAAAAAATGAATAAAGATAATAATAATTAATACTTTTATTCGGCAAGGAAGAATTAAATTGATCAAAAGTGACAGTTAAGACATTAATAATTAGAAAAGATTTCAGTTTCAAATAAATGATGTTCTTTTGAACTTTCTATTCAACAGAATCCTGAAAAACAAATATGTTAAGCAGCAAAATGTTTACAACATTAACAATAACTATTATAATAATCGAGCACCAATGATAATTGATAATTGTGTAGCAAATCAGCATATTAGAGTGATTTCTGAAGGATCATGTGACACTGAAGACTGGAGTAATGATGCTGAAAATTAAGCTTTGATCACAGACATAAATTACATTTTCCAATATATTCAAATAGAAAACAGTTATTTTACTTGCAAGATTTTTTCTTCACAATATTACTATTTTTACTGCATTTTTGATCAAACAAATGTAGCCTTGGTGAACATAAAGAAACTTCCTTGCAAACTTGCCATTGCAAACTTTTGACCAGTAGTGTCATTTTTCCAAAAATACAGTATCTCACATACTCACTTTTGTGGCCAGCGGTTTAGACATTAATGGCTGTGTGTTGAGTTATTTTGAGGGGACAGCAAATTTACACAGTTATACAAGCCGTACACTGACTACTTTACATTGTAGCAAAGTGTAATTTCTTCAGTGTTGTCACATGAAAAGATATAATAAAATATTTACAAAAATGTGAGGGGTGTACTCACTTCTGTGAGATACTGTATGTGCTGCTCAGATTTTGCAGAAATGGCACCTCAATTTCTGTGGCTCATTCATGATGAGAGGACAACACTCTGCATTTACATTTGATTCAGTTCTTGACATAAATCTGGATTACCAGTGTCTCTAATTGCTGCGTTTTCCATTGTTCTCCAGCTGTAAGATTGACTGGCACAAAGGCAAAGACGTGACCGTCAAAATTGTTAAGAAGAAGCAGAAACACAAAGGCAGAGGGACTGTTCGGACGGTCACCAAAGAGGTTCCACAGGATTCATTCTTCAACTTCTTCAATCCGGTTAAAGGTAAGAGAAAATGTGGTTTCCCAGGCAGAAGAACAGAGAATCAGCATTAACAGCGCAACAAAAGACTAAGCCTCATCTCAGTTTGTGAAATAAACCTAAACAAATCTCATCGTTTGCTATTATGCAAGTGTGACACAGACTGAGTTATGCCATCCTCTTTGTACGATTTAATTAGACTGAAATCTTGGGATTAAGATAATTGAGCGTGTTTTCAAATGCTTTGACATCCTTTCTTGCATCATGCAAAGGCTTTTGTTGTTATGTTCTGTGTCAGGAAGTTCCTGAATAGGTTTGTTGGTTTGGCCAAATATCTCTTACTACCAATTAGTGGCTAATGATTGAATTAATCATTTTTACTGATGGAAATATGTCAACCAGGCACAATTCATTCTGTTATTTGAGCAACTGACAGAGAACTGTCTGTCATGAGGAATATCAACAATATCAGTTCCTTTGAAATTGTGTTTTTCGTGGGATATGTGTGTTTAGTTATAGTATATTTGTGTGCAAATGTACTTTTTAGTGTCTTGTGGACAGCAGGGGGCACCACGCAAGTATTTTTGCCTGAATAGATTTTCAGAATACTATTTTGTATGTAATGCAAGCGGTCTTCCTCCAGGGGGCGCTTGATAACGGAATCTCCCATTGAGCTCCATTCAAATCTGTCTCATTGGAGACATTTGGACAGTGACAAGTATGATCATTTGAATCTATCAATTCTACAGATTTTAATCGGCAAACAAATGGAAATCCGAGCAGTTTTTATACAATGATTTTTAAAAATCAATGTCTTGTAATCGAATTGTATTTGTCCGTCTTGACCCTCGCTGAGAAAAGTATTAGGGTCAATCTGTGTGCATATTCAGCAGCGATGCATCTGAAATATGACATTTTTAATAGTTATTGCATTGAACCATCTATTATGTGACCAATTAAGGACAACATAATAATAAAACCGTATAGTGTCACATAGTAATTTTCTCAAAAATCTAGTTAGTTGTAAAAAAATTAGTCGTGCTTCATAATTCATTGCTGATGTATTTTAGTGAAGACAACGTTTGCTAGTGGAACTGTCAAAAATGTATAGGTTTGCATGTGTATGCACAAATATATGTTTTCAACAAAGAAAGAAAATGGGAAACTCAGGAAGTGACAGAGGAGAACAAATAAGGGTCAATCACCTGCGTTGTGATTGGCTGATTTTAGAAGGAGTGTGGTTAAAGAACTCTGAATAGAAATCTTTTGTAACATTATACACTACCGTTCAAAAGTACTATTTTTTTTTTTAAAGAAATTAGTACTTTTTATTAGGCAAAGATATGTTAAATTGATCAAAAGTGATAGTAGAGACTAAAATTGTTACAAAAGATTTCTATTTTGAATAAATGCTGTTCTTTTTAACTTTTTATTCATCAAAGAATCCTAAAAAAGGTATCACATGTTCCAAAAAATATTAAGCAGCACAATTGTTTTCAACATTAATAATAATAGTGCAGCATATCAGAATGATTTCTGAAGGATCATGTGACACTGAAGACTGGAGTAATGATGTTGAAAATTCAGCTTTTCATCACAGGAATAAATTACATTTTAAAATATATTAAAATAATTTGTTTGTTTTTTTTAATTGCAATAATATTTCACAATATTACTGATTTTACTGTATTTTTGATCAAATAAATGAACATAAGAGACGTCTTTCAAGAACATTTAAAATCTTACTGATCCCAAACTTTTGAACAGTAGTGTACGTAAACGAAAAAGCTAAGATTTCTGAAATTATACTAATTAACTGAATGTGTTTTTAATACACAAAAAACAGGTTTACTGTTCCACAGCCAGCCATATTTTAACCACATTCATACTTTTTAATTGAATGCATTAGTTTTTTTTTTTTCAGTAAAAAAGATTTAAATGCTAATTCTAAGCATTTTGAATATATGCATTTTGAAGATATAATTATTTAAATAAAATCAAATAAATGCAAATAGTTAACATAGTAGTACATAAGTTACTTGACCTTGATTTTTTTTAAATGTGCAAAAATCTGACCTGTTTGTAACCCATTTAATTTACCCATGACTGACAAATATGCATTACATTAAGTTTATTAGTTTATGTTAAAAACATGTAATCCAATTGGATACAAATTAGATTCAATTCAGTTTAGGCCTCCTTTTTTTTTTTTTTTTGAGTCCGTCTCATTCATGCAGGTCACCAGAAAACAGTTGCAACAACAGGGATTTTGCTTCTTCCTGCAATAGCTTCTTCAGTTTTTAATAGCCAAACAGTGTCATATAAACTTATCCCGCCCTCCCTCCTCCTGTCTCCCAGCAAAGGAGCGCCATGACATTGTTGCTTTTCCTTCACCTCAGTCACCCTTTCCAAAAATGCTAAGAATTGAATGTTTTGCATTTTAAGCGGCATTTTTCCTGTCAGCCCCTCTGATGGAGCGGCAGGTAAAGAATGCCGCCCGTCCTGCACACAGACTGTGGGAAAGAGACGCTCTTACCGTCAATCATCATGTCGCCGGATGTGTGTAATTTATCTGTTACCAAGGTGTTTCCACAACATTCCCATCTGAGGTGCGGCACTTGCACTGAAATGGCAGCAGTGCGGCTGTAACTGGATGATGTAATGCTTTCAGGGCTTGATGGATTTCCAAAAAGACTCTCCTTCAGGCCAGACTTTGATCAACTCCTTTTCAAAAAAATTACTTGCATTTGCATGTTTGAATCACTCAAAACCTGTCCGGAACAAGTCTGGGTCATATTTTACCATAAATAGAAAGAAAATTAAGCCTGATTTAGGACTATTTTGCATGATGACCTAATTTTAATGACAAATAAACGTTTTCACCCCATATTCTCATTACCACAATGTTATATACACACACACACACACACACACACACACACTATAAAAAATTATTACTGTATTTTTTGAATAAATTAGGACAAATATAATACAAAATTGAGAATGTGTGTGTATATATGCGTATGCTCACCAAGACTGCACAATTATTTGATCAAAAATGCATAACAAAAAAATATATACAGTATATATAATAAAGTATTATTGCAATTTAAAATAACTGTAATAATCATCTTAATATATAAAATAAAACAACGTATTTCATAATTACAAAAACCATCATGATATATTACGATAATGTGAATTCAATTGAAAATGTAGTTAATTGTGATGAAAACAGATAAACAAAAAATCGTTTCTTTTTTTTTTTTGTGGAATTTGTGCCAGAATTAATACTTTTTTCTTTTCTTTTCTTTTCTAGCGTCACCTGATGGAATGGTGAGTGAGACATCCTGCGCTCTGTGTTTTGTCGTGTTTGTAAACATCTGAAACATGGCCGTATGCAGCACACGTATTTTAGCTGCCTACACAAACACATACTGTAGCTCAATCCTCCTCTGCGAGTTTAGAAAACACGTCACCAACAAGAAACATCTAAAGAGTTCCTGCGTCAGTTATGGCTTAAAAAAACACAAGCACAATCATTGCACAATGGCTTCTCAGTTAGTGCTCGATTACATCTCTAGGCCACAATATTGAAATTGTGGCATTAGTATGACTTCAGTAGATGCCATTTTCAGTCCTGGAATAATTTAAAGTTTTTAATTCAATAAATTACTCCATAAACTTCCATTGGATGCTCATTGTGTCTGTTTGTGTCCAGGATGAAGACTTGGACTTCACTCTAGCTACAGATTTTGAGATCGGACACTTCTTCCGAGAGAGGGTCATTCCCAAAGCGGTGCTTTATTTCACTGGAGAGGCCTTAGAGGACGACGAGAGTGTACGTCTGTTCTTTTTACTGTTACTATCACAAGGAAATCTAGGACTGACTATAGATTCAACAAAAAAAAAAAAGTGAAAGTATTTAATATACATTTTGATGTCTGTATGCTATACATTGGCTTAAATTGTAATAAAAGAGTTATTATTTAATTGGATTTCATTTTGTGTTAAGACTCCTGGAACTGGTCACTTTTTAGTAGATTTTCACCATTTAAAAAAAAAAAATGGACAAAAGGAGCATTAAAATCTATGTGTGATGTTGTTTAAGTTTATATTGGCACCAAAATAATATTGAAAATATTGTAAATATTTAATGTATCACCCAGACCCTCTGTAAAATAAACTATTACTTTTATTTTAAAAATGTATATGTAATTCTATGCTGTTTTGCAGTATGAAGAGGAGGATCTTGAAGAGGGAGAGGAGGAGGTGAGAATCCTTTAATAGACACATTTACCCTTTAATAATAGTCCAAATTTATGGGCAATTGCAGTGTAACAGCAGATTATTATGTGTCATTCAGGATCTGGATGACGAAGGTGAAGAAGAGGATGAGGGAGATTGTGATCCCACGGTGAGCATTTAAATGATCTGTTTGTCTAGTATGCACTATCAGCTATCATTATTAAAAAAGCAAAAAGCAGCATGTAATTAGCTGGGGTTATACATTTTTTAATATTTTTAATCACATTTATCACAAATTTGAGAATTCTACTGGGATTGTAGATTGTTTTTGAAATAAAATACTGGCATACTAGTAGATACTGTGTGCTGCTTGCTATTTTTTCTATATACTTGTATGAAACTGTATAAAATATGCAGTAACACATTAGTAAGTCACGCACGACTTACTTGTTACTGTGTATTTTATGTACAATTTTATGTAAATATGTCTCAACTTTTGGCATTTGGCAGAAATTTTAGTACATTGCATTCTGGGATACAATATTCCCACTGTGTGCTCAGTTGTATACTGCACACTTTGTGTGCTGTGCACCGTTTACATACTGCATACTGCAAAGTAGTAGTTGTAGTATTGTATTCCAAACATAGTCGTCTCTTAATCACTGCATTGAATAGATCCTTATTGCTGATCTGGGTTTGATTGAGGTGGTCTGGATTGAAAGCATTACCTTGTATAGTACTTCATGATCAGCTGCATGCCTGATGTGTAAACCTATGTGTTTGTCCCTCCACTTCCCCTTTACAGGCATAATTCATTTCTCACTTCATGCATTTCTAGGTAAGAGACACCTGAAGGGATGTGGCGCTTTTTCCAATCTATCTTTTGATCCATCTTTCCTTCATTGTTATAGCCTTTCTCCTCTGCTTTCACTCTTATGTCACTTTCACATGAAAAGTTTGTGTGCGGACTGTTAAGTTTTGCTTGAAAACGGCGGATTTTGTTTCATGTGAACGCGGCGAAACTATGTAACTACTATTAATTACGTATAATTTGCATTTTTTGTTCACATATAGATGCTAAACACTTTGATGGTAAAAGTATTTTGCAAACGTTCCATGGTTTGAAACAACAATGTTGATATTATCAATATTGAAAACAGTTGTGCTGCCTAATATCTTTGATCAATAGAAAGCTCAAAACAACAGTTTATTTGAGATTTTATGCATATATATAAAGTTGCAAATAGATGCTAATCACTTTGATGGTGAAAGTATTTTGCAAACATACTGTGGTTTAAAACAACTTGGAAAAAGTGAAAATAGATCAGCCAGAAGTACGCAACTATTATTAGTTACGTATTATTTCCATTTTTGTTCATAAATAGATGCTTATTGTAAATAGTAATAAAAATAAATGTATTTGAAGTGAAATAAACACTTTCTTCAATGATGAATACATAAAGTAATTTATCATTGCCGAACATCAACAGTACCTGCCATCTGAACTTAGATGGCAGGTGCTCAATACTACTAGAGAGTGTTTACTATGGTGAAAGTGTTTTGCAACCGAACCGCAGTTGGAAACAAACCTAAAAGTGTGAAAGCAGATCAGCCAGGAGGATGCAACAGTCGAATTTGGAATTGAACAAACAAACGACTGAAAGTGTGAAAATGACATTTAAGACTAAACTTCTCAACTCCCACTCACTAAATTAACCTTATAGGTGAAGTGTGTAATTTTAATGTCAAAATACATATTAAGTGGTCAGACAGTAAAAATGCCATTTATTTTCTCCATGGGAAAATTGATATTTACCGATAACCGTTTTTTTTTTAATATATACGGATTTTTCCAATTTTGTTGAATCCATCGGTTTACATTATTTCAACTCATGTTTTAAATAATAGTGTTTAACAGTGGAGTCCTTGGTGAAAAATACATTACTCATGATGCTGTACAGAAAATTCCACCAATTAGAGACTAGCAATGAGCAGATCGGGCCAAACAGGTGCTGAGCTCCGCCCACTCCCATGAAGCACCTCAAATAACGTAATCACACAAGACACATAAATATTTCAATATATATATGCATATTTTGCAGTAAACTTAAAATTAGGTCTGCCCCCTAATAGTCGACTAACCGTTTGTCGACGAAAAGAGGCTTAGGGTGTACTCGCACTATGCGATCTGAACCATGCCCGAGTGCCTTTGACCTCTAAATCATGGTTCATTTGACTAGTGTGATCGCTCCGTTCGGGGTTCGTTTAGCTGTCCATATCTCGGTTGGAAGAGGAGGGACATAGCACGGTTCAGTTGGGCTCAGGTGCAGTACACATTTATTGTGAGCGCTAACCACACCTGAGCATGGAACTTCTGCTACGTGCAGCATTGATTGCGTGAAAATTTCTGAGCGGCAAAACCGATAGATCTGTTTAGCAATATATTGTAAGAGGGCCGTGTGTCACCGCGTCCCAAACAACTCAAAATAATAAACCACAAAGTTAACAAAACAATGGACATTGTGCTAAGCAAGAGCGCTTCTCTTTCTGGTTACTTCAAAAATTGTAGCTTTCAAGTGATTTGTTGTCGGAAAGAATAAAATGTAATATTCCATTGTTTGAGAACCATAAACATTCACCACGCTAGATAGTCAGCTTGATACGATTCAGGAACTTCGGTCAAATACTGTATATTCTTATTTCACTGTTTATAATACATACAACATGCTTCAAATGATTGTTCATATATATAAATAGTCACTACTTTAACGACATGACAAGATGTAGTTGTTGTTGAAAAAAAACAAAAACTAAAAAATAATATAATTTACAGCTCCAATTGTCCCCTCCAACATGTTAAAAGTTTATGCTTCTCTTTCTGGTTACTTCAAAAATTGTAGCTTTCAAGTGATTTGTTGTCGGAAAGAATCAAATGTAATATTCGACATGACAAGATGATGTAGTTGTTGTTGAAAAAAAAAACTAAAAAAGAATATCATTTACTGCACCAATTGTACCCTCCAACATGTTAAACGTTTATTTTAAACGGAAATTATCAAAATAATCTCTTTTGAGTTTCCCAGTATTAAATACGACTTGAGAGGCCGTTCATGTCCAATTTCTGATTAGGAAACTCGTATTTACGATAATTCCGTACATGTTAAAAGTTTATTGCCCGCCTAACTCGGAAATTATCAAAATAATCTTTTGAGTTTCCCAGTAGTAAATACGACTTGAGAGGCCGTTCATGTCCAATTTCTGATTAGAAAACTCGTATTTACGATAATTCCGTTAGCACTTGAAGCACTTGTAATGTGAGTGCAGGCCAGCGGGGGAGTGGGGAGGGGGGGACAGTCTCGCTCGAGCTCAGTTCAAGGCAACCGTGCCTAGTGAGAGTCCACCCTCAGTCGATCAAAATTTTATTAATCGCTTAGTCGCAGAAAAAAAAAATCACAGAAAGTGGCGAAGTCACGTAGTCTGTGACGGACAGATTATTAACAGCTGGTCTGTGTGGTAATTACAGTACATCTGTCAGGACATGCAAACATTCGTTGCAATCATCGACCTCAAATGTGGCTTATCATCTGAAACATGTTAGTAAATGCATCATTACATGGCCGCTCGCTCTGACATTAACTTATTGAAGCTATTGAAGTGTTTGTGTGGAGTGTGGAAGCTGAACAGCGCTCACTGCATGACAGTTAACTTGGAGGTGCCGGTGCGATCATTCGCATTTAACTTAAAATACGCTGTCATTTTTGCTCATACAGATAAGAGTAATACATCTTTCAAATCTGTGAAAGGTCTACTTTTATTTGTGTGCACTCACAATAACAACAAAACATTGTGCTTTTGTAAAATAATGAAAGCAAACTGGGTGTGATTTCTGCCGTCGGGGCCTCGTTGAACATTGAAACCGCTTTTGATTGCGCACTCTCTTTTTACTTTCACTTTCGAGATTCGCGTTCACACGTGCTCTATATACTATGGAGCGGCAATACTTACCACACATTTTACAAGATTAGATGTTTGTCAGTAGTGCTCATGATCTGCAAATCATTTGCCATCGTCCTCAGTCATCTCTCCTTACTCTCTTTATGTGGTAAGAATGAAAATGCTGTCATTAAATTCTCACCCTCATGTCATTCCAAACCCGTAAGACCTTTGTTCATCTTCGGAACACAAATTAAGATATTTTTGATGGAATCCGAGAGCTCTCTGACCCTCCCATAGACCGCAAGGGTACTTCCACGATCAAGGCACAGTAACATAGCAAGGACATCAATAAAATAGTCCATGTGACATCAGGGGTTCAACCGTAAGTTTACAAAGCAGCGAGAATACTTTTTGTGCGCAAAGAAAACAATAATAACATAATTTATTCAACAATTCTTCTCCCGGAGTTACCGTCTTCTGCCATTTTGGAGAGTATCTCAGAACGTAATCAACATAATCAGTGTTGTTTACATTCAGTAGAAAGCATGCGCATGCTGAACGTAAACAATGCTGATTGCGTTAATTACAATCTGGGGTTGAACCCCTGATGATGTTACATGTACTATTTTACTGATGTCCTTGCTACGTTTCTGTGCATTGATCGTGGTAGTATCCTTGCTGTCTATGGAGGGTCTGAGAGCTCTCAGATTCCATCAAAAATATCTCAGTTTGTGTTCCGAAGATGAACGAAGGTCTTACAAGTTTGGAACGACATGAGGGTGAGTAATTAATTGTCATTCACAGTGCTTCTTGGAATTGTAGTTTTTTTTCCCCCCTCATTAAACTAGTTAAGTACACAGTCTTGTACCTTTGTCTTTTTGTCGGATTTTCAAATACTTTTTTGCTTCAAATAAAAGTTTGAAGTAGGTCGGCATCGGTAGCCTCGTGGGCAGCGCGTCGACATGCAGCGCCGTTGCGCTTCGGGTGTCGCGAGTTTGGGTCCCAGCTCGCTGACCTTTCCCAATCATGTCCCCCCTCTCTCTCTCCCACTTCGCTTCCTGTCAACTTTGATCTGTCCTATCAAAATTAAAGGCAAAAACGCCAAAAATAAATCTTAAAAAAAAGTTTGAAGTAGATCATAGCTGGTTGGTTTTCATGGCTTATAATGCTTTAACAAAGATTATTTTTAAATCCCTATGGGAAAAATGAACAAAAAAATACTTCCGGAACCAGCACCACTGAAAAAGTGGGCAGGCACTAATACACTCTATAGTGTAATTTTGGGGCGAGGCCAATTTGCAACCAATGGCAGATGGGGGCGGAGCCAAAACCTGTTCAAAAACATTAGTTTTGCTATTACGGTTGATGCAACTACTGGTGCAGAAATTACACACTTCACTTTTACCAAACAAAGCATGTATTTATAAACCAAACCATCATCAGTCAAATCATTACTTCCTGTTGCGCAGTGCCTGAAATAATATTCATAATTCTCCTTCTATCTTTTATCTCTGTCTTGTTGTTCCTACAGAAAGACCCTCCTCCTGCAGAGTGCAAACAGCAGTAAGACTGGTGAACAGATAGCCACGGCACAACTCGGCTGTCCGTCAGACAATTAGAAGATGTGGACGCAGGCCTCATTTCCTCGTGGACTCGCCACACTAATGCAATAGGAAACCAAACACTGTTTAGGAAATGCATGTTTGTTTGTTTGTTTATTTCTCTACTGTTTACTTTTACAGAGATGACCTCAGATGACCTTCTCATTCATAAGTCGTGTAATTTCGCGCTCCAAAATTTAACCCTCAAAATGGATCATATATAAGACGTATGATTTCTTTTATTTTCTATATTCGAAACGTCAGAGCTGGTGTGCAATGCAAGAGGGTCTAGCAAAGATGCCACATGTGTTTTGAATTCTTAACGTCCATATGCAGCCATGGCCATTTTTGCAACATAGCAGGTTTTTGGACACTCCCCAGATGATATGTGCTCCCAGGCGTCGTCCAGTGAAGCATTACTCAGGCTTTCTTTTGCCAACAAAATGAACCTGCTGTCTTCACGAATCTGACATAACTTAAATTTCCGATATAGCTGTTACAATGTAGTTACGAAAGTGTTTTGATGTGGATCGTCCTGCTCAATGGTAGCCGAACGATGTGGATTGTGGTAATAGAATATTTCTGATTCGTCTCCAGGGTTGGGCGTCATCGAATTCCCCATCCCTGCGTGACATAACGGATATCCATGCCATGCACATTGACATGGGATTTCAATCGTATTTTAATTCACTATGTGGTTATGTGTCAAGTTGCTTGCATTCATGCACAGAATTGCATCAGTATTGGGAATGTTAACGAGCAGATCTTAAAGCCATTGCAGGTTTACTCTCCGTTTGAACTGTGTGCGAGCCGTAGCCTTATCTGGAACTTCTTTGGTTTGTAATGCAGCATTGTTTCCATTTTGTACAAAATAGACAAAAAGATTCTATTAAATGTTGTTCGACATGATACCGCAAAGTCTTGATCTTTTTTGTTGTTGTTGTTGTTGCATAACTGTGAAATCTGACAGTTCTCACCTGGTGGATAAAGCTGGAAGAATTGAGCCATTTATAAGGAACAGAATATCACAGAAACCTGCAGGTAGGCTGTCAGCAAGCAATCACCTGGAACACCCTAGCATCCAAATATCAATGCTTTGACGACCACCTACAGCACTTCAGCATGATGGCATCGGGTTTTGCACAGGTAAACACAGTTCACATTTCATTCAGAACATGTAAAAACATCTAGAAGTTCTGTTGAACATGACATTTCTATTCTCCACACCTCATTAAGCTCGTTTTACACCTTATTCTGTCCTGTTTAAGAGAAATATAATGCTTGAAATGACCGTGGTCGGCTATAATTATTCTGTGAGCGTAATTCGGTGGAAATTAGAGCGGGAAACCGATCCCCACCAAACCAGATTCCAGAAAGCGTCAGCTATGTGAGGAATCTCAACACTGAGACTGCTTCACCAATGTGAGGCTGCTTTGTGTGAAATACTTGCTGGCATTTTCTTAGTACTTTCTCAAGTGTGTAATCCGCTGGTTTAGATTCCAGAAAGCCGGATCGGTTCTGTGTGGGATCATTCCCACTTTCGCACCCCCCGCTCGGGTTTCTTTCGCGAGTTCGAGGATGTTGTTCAAAATTATCTCGAAATCTTGCTATACTTCAGAGTGGAATGAGCAGAATTTGTCTCGTGCTTTTTATCATCGTGGCACGGTTGGAATGACATTATTGTCATTCTAGTTTTATGATGCTTATAGGCATGAAAGCGGTTAGAAAAACTTCTCACGGTGTGATATGCAAACATCAGAATGTCTCTGATTAAAGATGCACAAATGTATTTAAATTATGTAAACCCACATTTGATGAAGAAGTAAGTCCTTTCAGAAGGATACAAGCTGTTTTATTTTACATAAGGGTGGTCCACCCTCATGCAGGCGGCCATGTTGGGATCACATGATCAGCTTAATACTATAAATTTTTATCTCTGTGACACTCCTATTTTTAGACATTTTTGGTTGCAAATTAAATTACTATATAGTAATGCAATATTTACATTAGTTTTTGTGATACTTCCTCCACACCAAGGTGTCAGTGTAAAGTCCAAAACAATAAAAATTGCATAGGCTATTACACTTTTATGGGGGTAATGTTGAATTGTTTTTGTGACTGGTTGTATACGAAAGCATATTTTATGGGTTGTACAAGCTTTTAGCACACAACAGCAAAAACTAAATGAAGTAGTAGTTTGCACTACACTAAATGTACCATCAATTTCTATAGCTACAAATGATAACAGACTTAAAAACTTCATATGAAGACTGAACAAAGAATCTGTTATCCAGTGTGTTCTGCGGTCTTGGAGAAAGGTCTAACACCCCCACAGTTTCAAATGTCACGTCCATTGTGGTCTCGGCTCCCTCCCGTCGCATACATGTAAACACTCCGTCTTTCTCACCCTCTCAATTTCTCTCAAATTATAATGTCACTTTCACTGTACTGGCACTTTCCACAAATAGGGCACAAAATAGAGGTTATATCTTTTTTTTCCCTTTTTTTTTAAGTGATATAACATGTCAGTACAAGGAGGTGCCTTCAGAAGGGCAGATTGAGCTGTTTTATTACATGGGGTTGACCTTTTTACAGTCCAGTTACAAAGTTTAGAAACGCCAGTTTAAAACCCTGATTTGTGTGAGTTTGTTATTTTCTAGAAATAAAAGCTAAATTGACAATGGGTAACAGCGTTGAAAATTCAGTCTAAATGAAGCCATCAGAAAAGTTTTTTTTTTTTTTTTTGATGAAATTTTTAACTTAAATTTCCCATAAATTAAAGAA